GTTCAAATAACCTACATTTGCCCTCTGAGTGGGGCCCAACATGCTCCCCATGCACAGTGTTGGGGCACTTGGAGGGAAGGTTTGACAACACCTTTTTATCAAACAAACAGGATTTTGCCACTTCTTTACTGAACTATGCCAACATATGACTGGTGTTATACAGGCTGGCTTGAGCTCCCCTCTGAGTGTTCCCCAATCTATAGAGGTGTAATGTGCTCTGAACTCTCAATATGACTATGAATACCAAGGATATTTCTGCTCACAAGTCAGTCTTTTTTTTTCTTGTCTTGAAACTGAGTGTAATGATCTCATGTTTAAATTGAACTTTATGGAAGCTGGAATTTATTAGAGATTCAGGTGGCAACAGGGAGCCCACAAGAAAGATGGAGAGAGACAATTTACCCTGGCCTGGATAGAGAGGAAAAAGGGGAATGGCTTCATGCTGACAGAAGGCAGGGTTAGACGGGATATTGGGAAGGAATTCTTGGCTGTGAGGGTGGTGAGGCCCTGGCCCATGTTACTCTGAGAAGCCATAGCTTCCCCATCCCTGGAAGTGTCCAAGACTAGTTGGACGAGGCTTGGAGCAACCCGGCATAGTGAAAGGTATCCCTGCCCATGGCAGGGGGGTGGAATGAGGTGGGTTTTAAGGTCCCTTTTAACCCAGGCCATTCCATGATTGCATGAAATCTTGTTCAAATACTCTCCTTATTCTCGTGAGACAAAATTATTTTGAAAGGTAACTTGGCCTTGCCAACAGGGAAATGCTGTGACTATGTGTTTTGAATGTACCTGGGTTGCATAGATGCTCGGTGTGCATGTGCAGAGAAATGAATGAAGTTGTTATTAAAGGTATCTATAACACCAGAGAAAGGGTAATGATAATCCCAGCCCTTGGACAGAAGGAGAAAAAGGATAAATAAAAAAAAAAATCAGAGAGGAATATATTAAGTGTGGCAATATCTATTTCACTGTTGTGCTGTCACACTGTGGACACAGCAGGAAGTCTCTGGAGGTACTTGAACATGGAGGAGGCAGAGAGCCAAAGGGAAAGACAACCCTTGTTCTCTCAAATTTGGCACTTTTCAAGCAGTTGAGGGTCCAAATCCCTCACATCACCAATGCAGGCCATGCAGGTATCTGCTATAACCACACACAGTGTCATATGTTTTTGTTTCTCCTCAGCCCAGGGCCTGTGGCAGCCCTCCAACATCCTCCTCATGTGTTATTGTACTGCTGCCGTACCCCACAGCAGAGCGCGAGGTTCTTTCTCCTTTGAAATTATTTCCCATGCCATTCCCAGACCTTGGTCCTCTTCCAAGTCCTCCCTAATCAATCTAGCATTGTGCGATGTCAGTTCTCATTTTCTTTCCTATGAGCTTACGTGACTATACATTTTATATTTGTGGCATAACAGTCTTCTTTCTGTTCCTGACTTTAGTTCCTTTCTTCCCTGAGAGATTTTATTCTCTTACTCTTTGGCCTCTCCCTGAATCACCACCACCTCCTTCTTCCTCTGTGTAGCAAAGCTGTGAGAATATTTTCAAGCAAGGGCAAATCAGCAAAATGGTTATTTCCTGATGTTATTGCACTTACTGGAGGTCCTGCACTTCGTCTTGGGAAAAGGTACGTAACAAAAGGAGCAGTCTATGTTTCTACCTTAGGGCTTCACTGAAGGCAAAAAAGGACATAATTGACAATACAGAACTTGCCAGACTTCCTCTGGGGAAAGGTTGACATGACTGTGGGGCCAGACTGTGCCTTAGATAAGCAAGTTTCATGAAAGCTGAAGAAAAGCCTTTGTTTTACCTTTACTTAACCATTCCTCACTGTTTTCTTATGTCTGTTCTCATGCAAGGCTGGGTTGGTGTTTTGCCACTTGGAGGGCAATGGTGAGACAAGGTCACCCTATCCCCGTGTGCTGGCGCCCTGCATTGCCTCCCCTGCCACGTCTAGCCCCCGAGAGACAAAAGGGGATCAGCAGCAAGGATCTGTTGCCTTTTTGCTCCACAGCACAAGTGCAGGACAGGCTCTGACCCTGGGATTTACCACAGGAAGTGCCTGCCCTGCCGGTGTTGAGGGTATTAGAGGTGAAGAAAAGGGGGGGAAAGCAAAGCAGGGCTGAGAAGGGCATTATTTTTTCTCTCTCTCATGCTGCTTCTGCAGGGATCACCCACCACAATGCACAAAGAGGTGATGGCTTTCTCCTGTGCATCCCTTGGTGCAGCTGAGTGATGGAGTTAACTGGGCTTAATTCCAGGGGCTTCAATTTCCAGGCTGATGCTGTAGGGCTGAGGGAGACCATTAGATCAGATGGATTGATTTTATAGTAGGGAATCATCAGCCAGCAAGAGCTGGGTACAGCATGTTCTGGTTGTGATCCTTTACTTCTTCTTTCTTGGCCAAATAGGATTGGTAAAACCAAGTATTTTTACTATTTTGTTTGTGTAACATCCCCTCTCCTTTAATGTGTGTAAATAGTGGTTCTCAGGATGATCTCTTACAGCAAAACTTGATTTTTCTGTGGGGAGAAAAAAAGGCTGATTTGTTAGGATTCAAGCAGCATAATGGATCAATGCTCCGCTTTTCTGGAACAGATTTTATTAACAAATATTTTTTGTTATAGCAGGAGAGAAATAATTGTGCCATCAACATCTATAGAATAATACATTATTCCAGAGTGTATATTTTTTTTAACTATTTCTTTTGATTTTGAGCCAATGTATACTTGCAGGGAATTAAGAGGAAATGAGTACAAAGCAGAATGACTGGTCAATAAAGACCATGGTGATAAGGTTTTACATTTTTCTTCCTTGCTTGGCACACTGCATCACTGAACCCTGCATGACAAATTGTGCCAGGGAGGACACAGTTTTCATTGTAGTGACAGCAGGACCAGTATCCTGAGCAAAACTGACATCTTGGCGGGGGGAGAGGTGAGGAGAGCCTTGTGCCAATACACGGCACTGCTTTGAATTAGACAGGAGCTTCCTCCCATAATCCAGAAATGACAGCTGTGGGTTCTGTCCCAGGGAAAGGCGAGTCTCAGGAAACAATGCAAGGCCTTTCTCACCCCAATTCAGATTACGTACATCTTTCATGAGCAAGTGTTGTAGTGAAATAGCGATAGCCATGGTAACAGCCAGCACTGTTGCTGATGTTTCTAAGGTGAGCAAGGCAGGTGCTCCCAGGGTGAGTCACTGCCTCCTGCAAACAAGTCAAGGGAGAGTATCCTCCTATACCTGGGTGGGACAGACCCCCTCCAGAAGCCTCAGCATCAGCCCGGGGGTTTACTGTGCCCTGCACATCAGAGCAGTGTCTCTGTCACCATCTGAAACCCAACAACTGGGTGCTGTCTGCATGTGGCATGTGACCCTTCCCTCTGCCTGCCTTCTCCTGTTCACTTATTTGGGCCAAGGACATCACAGTGGGATGCCACAACAAAAAGAAAATGCACCTTTAGTTATTTTGTTCTTTTTTTCTGGAACAGGTAAAATTGTTTTAATTTTTTTCTTTCTGTTGTTGTTGTTTTTAAGATTTTTTGCTTTCTGGTTTTGGTTTGGCTTTTTTTTGCCTTTTTGTTTTGTTTTGTTTGTCTGTTTTTTTGTGTTGGTTCTTTTTTGTTTGAGTTGGGTTTCTTTGGGGTTTTTTTTGTTTGGTTTGGGTTTTAATGTTTTGGTTTGGTTTGGGTTTTTTTGGTACAGATAATCTATTCTCCTTCTAGATAATTATCTTTATTTGTCCCAGGCTGACAACTTTCTACCTTTTTTGTCACACTGAATTTTAATACCAGCAGTAAGGCAGAGAGAACAGCAAAGGCAGCTCTATGATTGTGCAAACCAGCACAATAGATCCCATAACAAGAGAAAAAGATGGAACTGCAGGAAACTAAGGCACCTATGGGAGCAGTGAGAGGGTCTGAGCATGGTCTGGTGCACCCTGGAAAGAAAATGAGGAGGTTCAGCTCCTGCCCTGATACAACAGGACTCTAAAGTAGGGGCAGCGTTGAAATCAAGGGTGTACAGACAAGAGATAAGACATTGGCACTTGTTGTCCCTGGGGAGAATTTATTTCTCACTACAACTCCCTGAAAGGAGGTTGAGGGTTGTGAAACAGGCTGCTCAGGGAAGTGATGGAATGACTGCCTCTGGAAATGTTTAGGAATTTTATGACTGTGGTGCTGAGGGACATGGTTTAGTGTTGGATAAGGCAGGGATGGGTTAAAGGTTGGACTTGGTGATCTTAGAGGTCTTTTACAACCTTAATTATCCTATGATTCTATTCCTCATTCATGTGTATCCATGAATATCACATATACATACATTTATACACGAAAACGTAGTGGATGGCTGGATGGCTCCTTCCTCCCCCCTTCTCCCTCTTTTACAGTTGATTTTTGTCCCTCACACCACCTCTTCTTGCTGATCTGTGAGTGGATGTGTCTGCTTCAAATTCGACACTAAGATCAGACTTTCTTTTACACCTGCTCTGAGTGAAACATGGTCCCAACACCTTCTCACAGCAAATTTGTATTTCATATGGTATTCCAAGTAGGGAGAAAGTAATATCATTAAACCAGGAGGAATCACTTGGGCTTCTTGAAGCTTGGGTTCCAGAATAATCCAAGAAAATATCTGTAAGAATAAAGGGAATAAAATATAGAAAAAATAATAAAGGCAAATGGGAAAAAAAAATCCTAAACCCCACCCCTTTCCTGGCATATCCAATGTACACACTCCTGTCATTTTTGTTAAAAAAACAATTCTTTTTTTGTAAATAGATGAGCATATACATCACTGTCTGGAAATCAGGTCTGAAAGCATTATATGGTCCCTTCAAGTGAATTTTTTTTTCCTGACCTCTCATCTGGTTATTTAAGTAAAACAGACAGAAGTTTCATTTTTGTTTGCAAGTGTAGTCATAGTTCCCTGCAGACTCACGTGTCTGACAGTGGTTGCTCTGAATGTCCCTTTTTTACAAAGTGTGCCTTTTTGTCCAGAGAAACAAGACAGAAATTTTGCTTTAAAAAGGATGATAAATCCCAGCATGGCACAAGTTCTCATATGAAAAGGTGAGTAAAAAAGCTAAGGGTGCAATGGAAGCAAATTTTTTTCAATATCTTCATGCCCTCCATCTTTATGTCATGAAGGAACTCGGAACTTTGTTCCTAATAGTAAATTTTTAGACAATTCTTTTGGCTGAGCAGCTCTGGATTGTGATCGTAAGGATCTTGGTCTTTGTCGTCAGGAATTTAATTCTTTTGTTGGTTTAGTTTCTCATGGGTGAGGCTTATGTCTTTACCAAGTTGCAGGATCCCTCTGCATTTATATATATATCTTTCCTTTTTGTGGATCTATGTGACCCCTTTGAGGTGGCATGATGCAATATGGAGGGATCCTGTGGCTACTGTCCATTTATTTTTCTCATGAATACATTATGTATTTTTTAATGTTAAGCATTTTTATGTCACAAGATTAAATAATCCTCTAAAACACAAAACTTTAAACGTACAAAAAAGTTTGAAGTTGTGTAAGGCAAAGGACACAGGCATGTATTTCTCACTTGTTTTATAATCCATGTGGAATAATATATTAATACTTGGGGTAGTGTGAAGATCTCTAGCTCAGCAGATTTTGGTCATAAGACCTTAAATTTCAATCAGGATGTTACGCTTCCACAAACGTCAGGTCTGAGGCCTGAATATTAATATCTACTTCCCAAATATCCTATTGAAAAACCCCACCACATTCATCACAATAAAAATGAGAAATGCAAGAAAATGAAAAAAAAAAGAAATCTGCAAGTGAACTCTAGTTTTGTGTGTAATTGATTCCTCTTTCATGATGGGGCCATTATCTAAGAACGGTAACTGCAGGCTTGACATTATTAGTGCGAATTATCAGGGTTTAATAGAATCTTTCAGTTAACCTAGGTCTTTCCTTCGTGGGTCCTGACTGTGAGTAACCAGGCTGGATGCTCAGCTCTCTATCTGTTGCATCCTGCACATTGGGAATCTCACAGGCACTGTAGTTGTAGGAGTGATCTAAATTTAATAACATTTCCATTTGTGTTTGTTATGACCTGAATGGTGGGTCCAGATGTGTGAATTCCCAAATTAAACTGAGTATCACTCCCATATGCCTTCCCCGGGCCTGTTGTTTGCAAACAAAATCTCTTGGAAACAGTGGTCTTTGTTCCCTTTCTTACTGGCATTCCTCCTTTCTGGACCAGTTAGTGTTAACATATGTGATAAAGGAAGGGGATTTGTGAGCTAACACACCATATCCATGCATGCCCTGTGCACTGGGCAGATGTTCCCAAAGATAAACCCAGTTTAAAATATAAGCAAGTTCTCCCTTTGTGATGGAAATGAGAATAACCTCAAATACAATCATTTTTTTATGTATCAGCAGTTTCTTTTCATTTCATTATCAGACTAGAAATGTTTGCAGCCATGAGTCCCTAGACTCGCATGTCACAACAGGAAGGCCCTGGAATATCCTGGAGTGGGAACCTGTCACTTCAGCTGGAGCTGCCCAGGTGCCAAAATGAAGCAGGAGATACTGTTGGCAGTATATGTATACATATATATGTATAATTATGTAAATCAAACAAGACAGGACAGCAGGGAAAAAAACCTGATATGGTAATTAGGGCATGGTATAAAAATGATAATTTAAAGGAAGATATGATATTTTAAAAGGATTTATTTATTTTACCTTAATGAATTCTTCAAGGACCACAATCAAATACATTTATCATGGAGATTTGGGCTTTTTTTTGGTTTTTTTTTGAGGAGGAGGTGAGGCTGTTGCTAAAAGACAAGTCCTAATGCCTTTGCTTTACTTTAAGCAGACCCCTTTGTGTGGAGGAACAATGATCTGTACACCTAGAATTTAAACATTAACAGGTTGATGACAGTGAAAATGTACTTTCTTACTGGCTGATGCATTTTTAGGTTTGTGGAGGGTAAAGAGATGCATTTATTTAACTGTGTTTCTATAACTTTAGTTTCCACTACTTTTTTTTTTTTTTAGCATAGAAATTATTTGTGGTTGGTAGATGATTTTTTCAGTACTCTATAAGGTAGATGTCCAGTGACATCTCTACAAATGTAGCTGCAGTGCACTAACAAGGAAAAAATAATTTTATTCAAAAGATCCCACAACCAATCTGTGGAAGTCATCAGGAAAGAAAGGCATAGAATAATTAATTAGTCAATTGGGCACACTGTTCTTTGCCATTTGCAGGGCTTAGCTCATTGCAAGCTGGAAGAAATTCTGAAAAATATCTTGAATTTTGAATTTTCATATGATTTTGAAAATTGAAAGTGGCAGTGAGGTCTGTACATCTTCTCCTGTTCTGTGTAGCCCTGACTTCAGTGAAGTGTCTCAACTGGGTGCCTTATATCAACTTTTGCATAAGGAACAGTTCGTGCTCTGAGCAGTAGAATTTGGGCCATGGTGAAAACTGATGTAATTCGCATTTTCCGTGTCATCTGACAGTTTGGCCTATTGCTTTCCCAAAACTTTTGAAAGAGAAAAATAAGGATTGGGATTTTTTTTGTTGCCATTGTATCTTAGTTACAAAAATCAGGGTTTCAGCCAGGACACAGCATGGATTGAATTGAGTGGCATTAGTTTCTGTACCAAAAAGTTGAAAATAAAGACAATGAGGGCTGAAGAGGGGGAGACTTAGTGATTCTTTCCCTCCAGACAACAACAGTCTCTAACCAAAATGAAACCAGCTACTTGGAATCCTCTCTTTGGAGACTGATTGATTCCCAGATAGTCTAATGAACTGCTAAAGCTTCCCAGGCTAGATTGGGAACTAGATCAATTCTTGTTAAAATCTTGCTGTTCCTTAAGTAGAGAAAAAAGAGAAATTAAAGAACAGTTAAACCCATAAATTTTAGCAATTCATATCCTGAAACGTATTACTGCTCAGAATCAGAAATATTTTAACTGCCATTTGTCTTGAAGACCAGCAAAAATATTATGCTTTTGCTGTCACATGTATTCAGAGTCTGCACTTTATTCGGTAATTTTTTGTTCTGGAGTTTGTAACTTCATACTGAGAAAAACCCCAAACCAAACCTTTTCCTGATTTGTATTATGATATTAATTTTACTAATGCTTAAATATTCCCTTTCTGTTTCAGTCATATTATAATAATATGGAAATAATCCAAAGGAAAATGAAATTACCAGTTGCACCGCAAATAAAATAATGTAAAATAAAAATATCAGCTGTTTTGATGTTCAACCTGTTCTGGTTGAATGAGGTTTTGGGAGGACTGATGCCACAAAATGCAGTTGAGAAAGGATAAAAACACCAAACCCTACAAAAACAGGACATAAGGTAAGGAAAGTGTTTGAACATTTGTAGGAGAAAATTATTTGTGAAAATTATAGTCCATGTAGCACTGATAGGAGTTAAAAAAAGAGACCATATGCAGGAAAAATTAAAAAAGTGATTATTCTGTCATTTCCTCTTAAAAGTGGTGTAATAAGTGTAAACTTCCAATAAGTTGAGGGCAAGGGCATCATTTGTTATGTGGATATTGGGTTTCTCTTACTGTCTGTCAGAGAAACCCCTATCTCATCATACTCCCAATAAATTAATTAAAGACCAAGTGACCGCACTGATACATGAACCCACAAGACACCCACAAGAACGTGCTTTTGTGTACTCAGAGAAAAAAAAAATCCTTGATATATTTGTAGGGTTTATTTCTTTCCAGACTTTAATTTTTACATTCCTCTCTCCCTTCTTCACAAGAGAGGTGAAGCAGAGAGAGATGCATTTTCCTCAAATGCATGCAATAGCTCCAGAATGAGGACTGTGATAGAGAATTCAATATTTTTGGCCTAATGAAACTCTCCTGGAAGTAGAAAGCTCATCCTTATGGGGATGGCCTGCCCTGTGACAGCAATGGGAGAGATGGAGAGGGCTAGAAATTAAGGAATATCCTCATCCTTTCCCACTGAATGAAAAAAACCAGAAAATCAGAGACTGTTGCTCCACTTGCCCCCAGGTAACTCAGGATTATCCTGCCTAAAAAGTTCCCTTCTGAGCTACTGCATCCTGGGATCCGTCAAAAATTTGGGACCTTGCAGCCTCACTCCTTTTACTGCAATAAAAAGGTACATTGCAGTGAAACAACCTTCTTGAGATGAAAAAAAGAAGATGGCAAATGCTACCTGGATGGAAGACATGGATACTCCTACAAAAGAGGCCAGTCTTGTCCCTCCAGAGGTGTGCCCTTCCTAAAATCCTTGTTTTTGCAATCAAGGTACAATACCAAGTGTGACAGATCAAAAGTTAGTGAAAAAAGAACAGTGCAAAATCTCAAGTGACCAGAAAATAAGAGCCTTTATGGTTCAAGCCAGCATGAACTGCCTCACGTGATTTTGGGATTCACAGAAATAGAGCGCAGAGTGGAGTTGTGAAGCTTTGGGATGTGCCGTGCTTCCTGATTCCCTGGTGTTACAACAGACAATATATTACGCCTTTCCTGAGCTCAGTATTGGCATCCCAATATCAGAAGTCAGAGATAAGAAGTGTATTTTATTTGCATATTAATTTTTCTCAATTCCTATTTTTCCACTTACAAAATTACACTGTCCTGTTCACATCAATAGCGCACAATTGCTTGCATTCTTACCTTGCCTCAATTACAAGCTCCTTATAATATGATGATTATAATTAAATTATATATGAATTGTAATATTATAAATGAATTGTAATATAATATATGCCCCATCCCTGGAAGTGTCCAAGGCCAAGCTGGACGAGGCTTGGAGCAACCTGGGCTAGTGGAAGGTGTCCCTGCCCATGGCAGGGGATGGAACTGGATGGGCTTTAAGGTCCATCCGAACCCAAACCATTCTGGGATTCAATGATTTTAGGATGTTAAAGGTTTTCAGCAGTCATAGGCAGATGGTGTCAGAGTCAGGCCACAAAGGGTGCCACAAATACCCAAATCATGGATCAAATGCAAAGACTGCCTTCTTTATGTGCTGGCTACTTGTGCCAGTACCCTTATCCCATAGCATGTGCTGCTCCAAGGAGGAGGCAGAAATGAATGATGATTACAACTTAAACTACTATGTAGCCTGCAAACCAACACTGCTTGTGTTTTTGCCAGTTCTTTGGTCTGCCCAGTACTGACTGAATCCAAACTCAGCTGAAAAGCAGTTGAGCTGGCTGCTAACAGTCCCCATACTTCCAAGCACCCCTGACTACCCTCCAGGTTTGTTACTGACTTTCCTGTGCGTTCCAACTCCACGCTGTCTACTCTGATTTATTCCATATGCCTTAAGTTGATATATGTCATGGTGTGGAGGAAGTCAGTAATCCCTCTCAAGTTTCTGCTGGATACTGCTTGAATCTATCTGTGTCTGTTCTTCATGCTGCCTCCAATAAAATCTGAAATGGCCTGAAAAACCATCTGTTTCTTTCTTTTCAGCTCTTGCTTTATCTTCTAATAGCATACTTTTCAGTATTATGTGCTATAAACCCACATTTGGGCTTGTATATAAGAAGAAAAGCAACAAGAAACATTAAATTTTTTTAGATCAAGCTGTGTTTGTTGTAGTGCAATTACCTCCCTGTGATCTCAGAGGTGCAGGAACCTGCTGCTCTGCTCTGTGCCACCCCAGATTCACCCCGGGGAGAGCAATGGGACAAGGACTTTGACATATCTACTATCTAAAAGGCCTCTCCTCTTTCTGGACTGCATGGCTTCATGGCTGCGCTGGTAGAAGAATAATCCTTTCTGCACTCCCTTGTTTGAAAAAGAAAAAAAACCCACTCCCTACTTTACTGCAAATCTGAGATGACTGAGCTATTTTTAAAACTAGATTTTAAAAAACAGTCCTGCCAATATATTAAGGTATTGTGTGCTCTGTTAAATGAGCATAGAACAATGTACTTTTCTATGCTGGATATGACCTACAGGGAACATTAATGTTTCCTTAGGTTTGAATGTCATGAAATGGTTTGTAAAAGGACCTTTTCCCTTTTTTATCTTCCTTTATCTTTTTATCTTCCCCCCCAAGAGAGAAGGCCTATGGCTCTTGCATTAAAAAAAAAACCAAACTCATCAAACTTGTAGGCCTGCACTCCTCTATTTGCATCCTCGTTTATTCAGGGTGTGTGGCCTGACAAGTGGCAAGGGCAAAATGCGAGAAGCAGTGCTTTCTTGGGGACTTGTGAGTGTGGAATGAATCAAGGACCTTAATAAGACAAACACTCTCTATTCTGATTGTCAGAGCCACAACTCTGACCTTCCATTTCCTGACAATCACCTCACTGAAACCTACAGTAAACTTAGCTTTCTTGCAGTTGGTTTCTGAATCTACCTAGACAGTTAATACAGATTGTAATATTATCTAGGAATATCCAGTATTTCAGTTTCATCTGAGTTATTTTGTCTCTTCTACTCATACATTCTCTTCCCTTTTTGGCAATGAATTCTAGACTATTGAAATATATTATCATACTTTCTTAAAACTTTTCTCTTTAAATCCTTGAGAAATGTGTCAGCAATAAAGATGAGAACCAAAGTAACGAGTTTGTGGGAAAGGCCTTTCGATCTAATATTGACTTTCAGGTAGTCACAATATGGTGGTCCATATTACATCTACTTCAAACGCAGTACATATGTAGCAGCAATGAATGAAATGCTGTTTTAAATAGATTCATGAAAAACAAATGACTTTGGGGAAAAGCAAGAAACCCCTCAATAAATTACCACACATCATAAGAAATAAATCCAGATAAAATCTTCCTGCTATGGTTGTTACTGTCTTTCAGTATCTTTTTTTTTTTTTTTTTTTTTTAAATTTCAATAAATCATGAATGATCAGTATATAATAATTTAGGTCAAACGAATGAAAAATATGAACCACAGACTGACGCATAATAGCGAATTATGGAATTATTTATCAACCCTGATCAATTTACTGATCCTAGAATTGGTCTCTACTTTCTAGATTTCTTTTCAGTTTATGTGGAAAACTGAACAGAAACCCAGATGCAACTGTATCACACCTGAACCTGCTGTTGTAGGCTGTTGAAGTGGATGAGGTGCTTGGTCTGTTGGCACAGTGTAGCAAGTTCCACTCATCAAAAAAATGGAAAATTTTGGAACTGGTGATCCTCTCCACTGCAAATTAGGAATACTATAACAATTTATAATAATAAATGAAAAATGGCCGTACTGGGTCAGATGAAAAGTCCTCAGCTTTAGACCCCTGACTCTGAGTTTGGCCAGTAAGTGAAGAGAGGTTTTAAAAAGGCATGTGAGACTTGTGCAGGTACCTAATGATGGGCTCTCCTTGATTCTTGGTTCTTTTTCTAGCAATTCCTGCCATTCCAAGTTATGCCAAATATTGAACTGATACCCTCTAAAAGCATCACCAACAATTCCACAACCATTTGTTTTGCTGCTGTTTGTAGTGTACATCATTTTATACTCATTCAAACTGAATTTCTCTGCTTTTTTTATCACCTCATTTCTCAGTATCCAAAGAGTCACTCATGGCTCCTTAGAGGCAAGTTTTGATCAGTTTGACTACTTTGGTGTCAGCTGATAATTGCTTTATTCATTACTTTCCCTTTCTCCATATTAATTATGAATATTGGCAAAAAATGCATTATATATTTACATCCATTTTATGTAATGTATATGTATTATTCAACATTAATAATTTAATCTTTTACTCTATAAATAATTAATATCTATCAAAAGGAGAACCACGGAGGGAAAAGTTTGAATTCCCTATGAGAAACACGAGCACTCTTTGAGAATGTTTTCCCGAAAAATGTATATAAAATGTAGTGCTTTTTCTTATGCATTATTCACAGCAGGGAATCTTTATCCAAGTGTTATGCACCATTTTGAGGAATACTGGGGTGGCAGTTAGAAAATAGTGTTTTCATAGGATTTTACAACTATGGCTCTTTGTGAATCATCTGTTTCACAAATATACACACATATCAGTGCCTGTGATACCTGATGCATCAGAGCGGTCCTGGAGAGCCTGTAGCTCGGAGAGGCAATTGTATCCCTGAATTTTTACCTGGTTGGCTGCAGGCAACCCCTGGAAGCCTACAGTTTAATTTTGGAGGATCAATAAAACCTGATGTAAACTGCAAGAAGCTTCCTCTCCTCACCTTCTGAAATCAGCTTTTTTTATCTAGGCCTGGAGCTGGTGAGGAAAAGTGATGGTAAAAAGGGCTAATCAACCCTCCCATCCTCCAGGATTCCTTCTGCTCTTGAAAGTAGAAATGCAAATGTTGTTATTTTTACCCCTACTGTTACTTACAATAAGCAGTGACAGGATATTCTCTCCACAAAACAAGGGAAGAACAATCTCATGTATTTGTCTCAGTTGTACTTCTTGTTGTTGTTATTATTATTTAATAATAACAACAAAAATTATTATTTAAAATAATAATAATAATAATGATACCAATAATGATGATGATAACACACAAAATAATAGTGATAGTAATAATAATCATCATCTACTACTACTACTACTACTACTACTACTACTGCTACTACTACTATTACTATTTTATGAACATCTAGTTTATTTTAATACCACTATCCCCACTCTGAGACATGAAACTCCAAAGCAGGTAAATGCAGGATATGGAAACGGGCACAGAAATGAGTAAGGCAGACCAGGAGATAAGACTTAGTGCATCAAGATCATCATCATTTTACAAATAAATCATAAGGCACTGTTTAGATTTTTTGACATTTTGAGTTATACAGGCTAGAAAAATTGTGGTTGGATCAGTCTTTTGCCCATGTACTTGTGCACAGGGAGCTGAAGCTCTGCAAAATGACACTAATTAGCTGAAGACTGTTAAGGAGAAAGAGGTCCCCATCGACCAGGGTACAGCATCCAGAGCACTGCCAAGACCCAGCACACTCCTGGTAAGCAGCACTGATGAGTTTCATCAGTTTACGGTATCTGTGTTTTTTATGTTTTGTGGAATGAGTGAATAGCATTTAGACTGCACTTTAACATAACAATATGCCACTGTTCTTCAAGTTCACTTTACAGGAAAAAAATTGCTGAGATGCTTTCCAGCAGGAATTTTTGTTTGTTTTCTGTGGATTACATCCTAGTTTCTTGGATGGTGCTTCTTATCACTGCTGCAGAATTTTAATGAATGGTGTCGGTCACTGTACTGTTAGTGATGGACACCAGTGGTTTGGGTTAGCTTGGACAAGCACTGATAAGTCTGGACTTTCTGAACTCCAGGAGGTTCCTTTGACCACCTCTTAAACATTCCAGTTTATTGCAAGTTTCTAGAAAGGAGCTCTCAAAGTCTGTTTGTTTTTATACCCTTTGCCTCACTGACCACAACTTGTTTTCATCCTATGGCAGACAAATTTAGGTTTCAATGATGGGGCACTGGTGCATTGATATCTAGTTCTAAAACAGCAATTTTTCTGTTTTGTTTTGGTTTGTTTGGTTTTTTTTGTTGTTTTTGTTTTTTTTTTGTTGTTTTTGTTTTTGTTTTTGTTTTTGTTTTTAAACATCCCTTATGCATGCTTTATAACTTTTAGCAAGCTAAATCTCTTTTACTTCAGAGTTGTGTGGACACTTTTACTACTTTTTCAACTAAGTTCATGTGACTTAGAGAAGAAGGCTGTTCTTTCTGATTTGATCTTTCTGACTGAAAAATCACTAAACCTAAAGACCACCTTAATGGCTTAATTTCAGAGTCTACCTAAACTAAAGGAAGGTGAGATGCCAATTTTCTGAGGATGCAAAATTTCGACTTATTATGTACTTGACAGATTTCTATCCTTCCTGTTTTCAGGAAGAGATTTCTTGTGAATGTCAGAAATTTAACTCATACCATTTCTTCATTTGGAAAGCATAACACACTGTAACTATTAATAATTACCAGTCAGATTCCTGACTATATTTTTATCATTGGAATGTTGGACCTGGAAACTGCCACAGAGGCACACATGCATACACACTGGGCTCCCAAAGAAAACATTTTCAGAAGAAAGCAGTAAACATAAAATTTGAAGTGCTAATTCATTGAGTTTAGATGATGAAGTAAATAACTAACAGCCTTCTACTGAATAATATGGTTTGTAGATTATTGAATTTTTTGCCAGTGTTAAGATTTTCCTGTCCCCATAATGTAGAATTTAAAAATAAATCAGCTAATATTTCATCAAAATTAACTGTGTTTCCTCTGCTTTCCCACTTGGTTGCACTTGTTTGCTAAATCCTTTAGCAGTAAAAAGTTGTGGACATTTGAAATATACATTCCATCCATGTTAAATATCTGGTAAATATTCCTCTCTAAAAGCAAAAGAAAACAAAACAAATAATTGTTTAAAATAACTCCAGGAAAATAAAACCCCTATAAAAATATTTCTGTTGTCAGTCATGAATTAATATCTAATTAACGCCCAAAATAATTTTTGTTTTCTGAAACAAAAAGGTACCATTTTCACTGCAGATTTTTCCCTGTAATGTGTTCTTCCTTTTCTTTTGCAAAAAAAAATTGACATTTACTGGTGCTTAATAAGGCACAGGGTGGATGCGCTGATTTATTCAGTGTTGCCCTTTGAGAGATAGATTTTCAAATCACTGGGCAAAAGGAAAACAAAGAAAACATAAATTCTCTGTTCCAGCAGAATGCAAGGATTTTGCAAATCACCCAAATGCAATTTTAGATTTGCAGGTGACCTAAGAAACAAGTAGACCTGAATGATGCTTCTCCTGTCAATAACCTACTGCCTTCCTTCTCACTGCAGAAATTCCATTATTTAGTCTTATAGGTGAGTATACTTATTTAAGGCTTGAGCTCAGAGCAGCTGGAGCTTATTGATGCTGCGTGTTTTGGTACAGAGGAGACTCTCCAGCCCCAGGACAAGACTCCCAGTGCCACACTTCTCACCTGCACATCAGGGGTTTTAGCTCTCCCAACACCTCACTCACTGCAGCTACTGGTAGCACTCTTGCAAATAATTTATGTCTTAAAAGAGGTCACCTAAAACTGCCATAAAAACACAGGAAGAGAAACAGAGAACCCCTAGGATGCTCTGTGAGCCCATGTTCCTCACCACTGCAGTCTCCCAGGATATCGTATCCCATTTTTGTGAACTGTTGGGGAGAACAACTAACTAGGCATAGTCTGGGTTGGGTTTATTAGTCAGAGGTTTACACAAAACTTCTGGGGAGGCAGCTGCTTGCTGATTTTGGGTGCTCTCCTCTGACTCATTTCTGTGGGAAAACTTGAGACAGAGGGCAGGCTCTCATCCTCTTGTTTTTCTGGGATCGCTTTAATTGCAAGCACTCCCGAGTACAGAGGCAGAGACTTGGAACAGGAAATTGTAGCTTGACTGGTAAAGCCACGGCTGCATTCTGGCACCTTGTCTGTACATGTGTGCTGGAGAAATGCATACCTTTGAAGATGAACTCCATGTGGTATTTCAGAATGTTTATACATGAAAAAATTGGTTTCAACATCGGCTTTAGTACCTCTCAAATAAACGAGACAAGAAAGTAAAACACTACTGTTTCACAAGCTGACTAATCTGATCCTGATTCTGGGCTCTGCAATGTATTTATAATACTTCACAACATATGGTGTCTAGAGGAAATGCTACCTTCTTTCAGCAGTCTGGGAAATGTGTTGTGAGACAGTTTAATGACAGGAATGATTCAAGGGGTTTCTCTGGTTTGCTCTGGCACAGGAGTAATATGGACACAAGTACTTTTAAATAGTGTTTTCAATACTTTCCATGAGGTAATGGTGGTCCTTACATGGTTTACTTCAAAACAGAACAGATATCTCTGTCCTCTCTTACACATCTGAAGGCACCACACCTTTGAGCCAAACACTGTCTCCATTACTGTGCACTCCATGCACCAGAGTTACATGGAAGAATTTATCTTTCTAATTAAAAGGAACTATTGGAATTGTAAAGGTTTCGAACAAACCTTGTGCTTGTGTCTAAATAAGTGCAATCTTTCTGTTTATTGGTCCTTTCTGTGCTGGCTGCTGTAGGCAGTGGCTATACCAACACATGAGAAAAACCATCAAGCACAGCTGGATTAAAAGCTATTGTCATCTGATTGCTGAACCCACATAAAGGTATTTTGGCTGGTGGCTCCCAACAGCTGGCCCCACCACAATCAGGGTTGGTTAGCACTGCTGGTGGTGCATTGTCTATTTTTATGCCCCTTGTTTCCTGGCTGGAATGCCTGAAATGTGTCAGCATGTTGTTCTGGCCCGTCACCACTTCTCGAATGTGAGGCTTTGATAAGGTGAGGTGTTGATGGATCGTAAACTGGGGCCAGTCCTATATGATTTGGGATGCCTGAGACCACTGCTGGGAAAAGCAGAGAGAGATGAGCCGATCACAGGGCACTTGGGATAGGAAAAGTAAAGAAAGGGCCGTTTACAGGAAATATTTTAAGCCTGCTGATTTCTTGGTGACCTGCAGCAGACTTCCATTTGGTGACACATTTGGAATGTTTCGGTATCTTTGGTTCTCCTTTACAGGCCGATTGATGATCTCATGTGTAAAGCACTGGTTTATTAACTCACACACTTTACATTTTCACCAGAACTGATACAAAATGAGAATGAGCTCCTGTGAAGTTGAGTTCTTCTGTGGAGACACAGCACTAGCCAGGACAGGCAGATATGCTGTACTTTTGGGAAGCACATGGGATGCCAGGGAGAACAGATTTGGAATGATCTCTGCTCCTGTGTTCTTTAAAAGCAGAGCAACACTTCATGTCCCTTTTTAGTTAAATGACCTTCAGGATGTGTCTTGGGAGGATGTGTCTTTCTCATCCTGAGTCCCAACTTAGGTGTTGCAGTACAGTAGCCATGGAACACTACTACTAAAAATGACTGAAAAGTCTCCTGGTTGCTGAATCTGATGTACTGGTGTCACAAGAGCTGTGTTGTATCATGCTTTGCATAAGCTCAGATATATATCCCTTCAATATTCCCATCCTAAATTCCTCCTAGAACTCATTCCTCTGAAGAAAGATGTTTCCAACTCACTATATATTTTAGACAAACTTCCACAGAGAAAAACAGGCAGACTTGGTTTAAATTAGGTACAAAGTACTTGAAATTAATTCTATAGCTTAAGAAGTATAAAAGTAGGAAGTGCTGAGACTGGTATCTAATAATAATTAGCACATACTAGAAAAGTAAAAACGCAGTAAAATAAGGAAATTTTATAAATCAGAAAGCTATTCTGAAACTCAGATACTAAATCTTTGTCAAAAATCATTACTAAGACCATAACAGCAAAATATGGATTATATTTTCTTTTTCTTAAAAGAATAAGCCTTCCTCTTCATTAAATAATTATGAAGGATATTACTGTAGTATCAATAAGGGTCTTTCTTTAAATCAGTGGATAATTCAATATTCAATCTCCATCAGTTTCTATGTTTATGCATTGCTTTGCTGAGATGTTGGGAAAAGTGCCTACTATTGTTCCTGAACATCAGTTATTAAACGAACTGCATGGATTTTTCTTTGTTTGAAGATAAAGTTCATTTATTTAATTTGAAATATTGCTTTGAGACTCAGAAGAGTCTCAAAAAAAAAAATTGGTTGCTGAGACACAGAATGCACTACTTTTTCCCTTTCCTGTGTGTTCTCTTATTTTTTAATAAAGAAAACAAATCCATCAAAACTCAGAGATAATTAATCTGCAGAGAACAAATTAAGTGAAAGACACTGACCATTTCTGCTTCCTCCCATCTTCCTTGGCCAGCAATATAACATGTGGTAGATCCTTTATCACCACAGTTAATTGTTTATACTACAAACTCAGCCTTCCTTGCTGGCATGGATAATCTCGCCAAATGAAGTTATTAGCTCTGGTCTCCAGCCAGAGTTTACTCCCAGATTTCATTATTTAACCATTTCATTGTGCAGAGCTAGGTTGTCATTGAGGCTGGCATGAGTCACTGTGCTACTTCTGTGCACACATTCACCAGGGCTGTGGGAACAAAATGTGGGATCTTGCACACACACACAGAGATATTGAAATATGAAGTCTTATTTCCTCTACCAGTAAGTTAAAAGGGTGTGGAAAGAGGAGCTTGGAAAGCCATGTGTGAAGATCACAAAGGACTCAGAACTCGTTTTTATGAAAAATGTGGATTTTGCATTAGTATTCTTAATGACTTGCAAGTACTTCCTGGGAAGGTCACTCTGCTTACTGGAAGCTTTCCTGTGAGACTGGTCCCCATCGCCTGCACAGTGTTGGTGCATATACACAGACAAAACAATGCCTTGAGTAAAGCAAGTTGTCTTTTGAAGAACACAGAGGTCTGCAGCCCACAGTCAAAACATGATCCTGTCCCATGCTGATGCACTGCAGCAATCTCATAAAACCACAGTGTTGAGCCATGCTCTGCTTTGTGGTCCCCACAAAGGTTATGCAAGTGCTGAAGGGCACGTGGCTTATCGCAATACTAAGTAAATGAAAGCTGCCATAATCTCAGAGGAATAATTTATATATTTAAATTGACAGAAAGGATGAAAATTCTGATTGAAGGAACATATCGGTCACCAGATGAATTTTTTGAGCAAACAGTTCCTCATTTAGAACACAAAGAAAGACCTACCAGATGCATCATGGGAGTGGGTCTGCAGAGTACAGCAGCAGCATGATTTCCCCTTCCTCCCCAAAACTTCACTGAGATTTCAAAAAATCAGGACACAAGGGTCCACCTGAACAACTGAAAGAGAAGAAAAGTGTTTTTCCCACTCCTTGCATCCTCAGGTTACCATCTTCTTTTTTATTTTCTCAATGTTCTTCTTTAAATAATACTCGTAAGAGAAAATCTTCCATGGTTCAATGAAAGGTTTAGTGAAGGAAAGCCCTGTGAGCTGAGAGCATGTCCCACAGCTGCTGTTGCTGGTGCTGAGTTCTTCTTGGGCTTCCAAAGCCTAATTGTGGTCTTCGTGTTTCTGAAGAGTAATTTCAGTGACGAGGAAAATGACTTCTTTAAATTTAGTCCTGCTTCTCAAGGAAATAAGGTGGCCATTTCAAGTATTTTCTTGTAGTGGAGTTTCTAAATAGAAAAGGAACATTTTAGATTTTTATAGAAACAAGAAGGAATGGTTGAGGAAGACAGACAGGAATGAATGCAATGATGGGAACCTGGAATTCCTGCCTTCTCCATTTGACTCTGATCTCTGGGGTCTTTAGTGCATGACTTGGCTCTTGTTCCTTTAAAATAGCAATTCTACATTTAAATAAAAGCCATGCAAAGTAAATCATCAGCTGATGAGGAACAATTCATTAGCAGATTCTTGGAAGGTGGCCTTGTAATTATGTTGTAGGATGGTTGGTTTACTCAAGTTATATGGTTAAATAGCCACAAGAAAGCCTATTACATGTCATAATTTTGGCATTTTTCTACCCAGGATTTTAAGGCTCTGGGTCCAAGAGCAGCTGTGTAGTGATCTGAAGGCTGGTAAGACAAGCACAAGGACTTGTACAAGCATCAGGGCTCCTTGTCTGACAGAAGAATGAAGAAATATGTCAGTATTGCTGAGTCCTCTTCTATGAATCACTTAAGTTACTGAGAAGAGGAACAGCTGGAGGCCAAAGATTTCCTCAGACATCATTTGGAGTCATGCACAGTGGGGAAAACCTGACCCCATTTAAATCTGGTAAGTGCTCTGGGGCAAATATTTAAATTGTAAACAAGGGTTTTTTACCACAAAATAAACAATTTAAAAATGTATGATAACATATGACAGACTGTTCTCCTCTAACAGAATGTGACATAGTTGGGGCCCTTGGGACTGTGGAACAACTCAACCTCAGGTTGTATGGGAAGGGTGAAGGAGGTGGAAGCTGAAACATGTCGTTTTCAGAACTCTTGTGTAGGCAGCAAACTGAACTGTAAGTTTTCCAGTTCTCTGCACCACTGCTTGTTCTGGAAGAAATTGGCCCTGCCACAGTCTTGCTCCACAGCTAACTGCACCCTGCAACCCTTTCAGTGAGCTATAAATGTTATGTTGCGCCATTCCTCAAATTCCACAGAAGACTCCTTCTGAGAGACTATTTTAAAAAGATTCTTAAGATACCTCTTACCCTTGCCTCATCTATTCTTCTCATCTTGTAACACCTCTTCTCTTCCCTCTGTCTCCTTCTTTCACTTCCTAATGCTGATCCTCCTCAGAAAGCACTCAATTTTCCTTAACTTTCCCTCTTTTCTTTGCATTCTTCATACCATATCTCAAAAATCTTACATGCTATATCTGCAGATGCAATATCCCAAATTGTTTGAGACCAGAGAACAAAGGATCAAAAACACAGAAAAAAATTTGACAAGTAAGAAGGCAGACATTGTATCTTGTCTTTGCAAGTCTTATTTAGGATCCTTGCTTGGATCCGTCCTAGATGCAGGCAGGAGCCTGAAGAAGGCTCCTCCAGCCCCACAAGTCTTTCTAGCAGATGGCAGCCAACAGTTGGTGGAGAAGAGGGTAATTTCCTCCTCTCTGCCTTGCCATTAATCTCTTCTGGAAGTTGTGGTTACAGCTCGTTGCTGCTCCTATCTTTGGTGACCCCATGAAAAACGATAGCTGTTTCTTCAATGAGCTTTCCTACTATCAAAAGAGACTGAGAATCTGTTCTCAATTGTGGACTGGAAGAGGCTGTGCTCAACAGCTTCACCACTCCCATATTTTTTATTCCCTTTTAGAAGAAGGAGGTATCAAATAACTTTCCATTTTAAACCATGAGGAAAATTACATATCCTCTACTTCAAGTGTATGACCTTGAAAATCATGAGGCAGGAGGCCCTAGGAACTGCACTAGTGGCTGTCCAAACATAATTACTCCTTGTGTGATGCCATGGTGCTGTCAGAGATTCGGAGCTGCTGTCTGTGGCACATAGCAGCACAGCATCCTAACACTTCTGCAGCCAAAGACCTTCAATTAAAAGCTGCCAGACCCCTAAATTCCAGTTTGGGTGAAGTTGGAGCATAGCCAGGCAAGCACATGCACACACTAAATAAGAGAAATTTGAATTGGAAATGCTTAAATTTTCAGATTTAGACAAATCCTGGCCTTTTTTTTTTTTTTTTTGATGCTAGTTTTTCAGAACACCCCTGCTAGCTTCAGCTCAGCTCTGCAAGGCTGTGAGTGTTGGAAAATCATGAATGGAATCACAAAGTCCTGGAATGATTTGGTTTGGGAGGGAACTTAAAGCTTACCTCATTCTGACCTCCCTGACATAGGCAAGGACATCTTCCACTAGACTAGGCTGCTCAGATCTGAGCTTGAAGTTTGCCTCTTCAGTCATGGAAATAATTGATTGTTACATACATCACCTTCTCTTATTTATCCATGCTAAAGGAATGGTTTGCAGTTGTGGTTTTATTGTTTGGGGTTTTTTTTGCAGGTTGTCTCATGGGTTGTATTGCCTGAGCCCAGGAAGAACACTAAGGCATATTATCACTTCACTGAAAACAGGAGAAACAGCTCTGTTTGAAGAATATGACAGATACGGCTGTGGTGCTACCAGAGTTCACTCCATTAACTTTTTGAGTAAAATCTTTTAATTATTGTATTCTATTCAACTGAAATATCACGTTCAGCAATGTCACAACGTAATAACTACCAAAGCAATGAAATGCATCTGTAAAACTTCAGGGCCTGATCCTTGACCTCTTTAATGTGCAGTGACACTTTCTGTCCTTACAGATGGCTCCAATACTCTTCAAAAACATCACAGTGGGTTGGGTTTTTTTTCCCTAATGAGTTAAAATTTTCCTCTTACGCTGAGGAAGTCAAAGCTATAACCCAAAACTTGTTTGGCAAGCCGTAGAAAAATGAGGTTTGAACTACAGACAGAATAAATAGAACAAAACTAAAATGACAGACAATCTGTTTCAGTGGATTTCCCATGCTATTTGTTTATTTTTTTTCAAGTTATATGCTCTTGATGGTTTAAATATTCGTGGAAGTGGAGCACTTATAGCTGAGATCTAATTCAAATTTACTGTGTAATGCAGAAGGCTTGAGATCTGTCTCTGTGGTGATGTTTAACAATGTATAACAGGTCATTTATGTAGCTAACTTCAGATCTGGGGTTAAATGGAATTGCTCATTTTGTTTTTTTGTATTGTCACTTGGAAGATTCTTCTCCTTGGCTTGGATTTCCCAAAAAAGTACAGAAGGATGTCCCAAACTCTTTTTCTTCTCTTAGGCTATGCCATCGTTTCATTCCTAATCCAAGCATTAAATAAGGGCTAATTTGAACGAGGTGGAATTTTTATATTTTTTTAATGCACTATTTTATTCATTTTATATGTGACCATGAGCCAACACCTGAGCTGCAGTTTTACCCTGGTGATGCTGAAACAGAAACTCAAGGTCTGTTAATGCAACAAACATATTTGAAGCAGAACTGAGCTCAATTTGGCAGAAAAACAAGATCAATGAAATTTCACAGTTTAGGAAGTTTGTGAGACTTTAATTTTTTTGCTTGCTTGAATTTTTAGAAATGCTGACCTCAAAATCCACTTCTTAAAAGATGACTCTCTTTCGATTACATCCCTTGGCATTTTGGAAATGCAGATGAGTTTGCGTAAATGAACACATGCTAATGTCATGTGGGAGAAGAGGTTATTTCCCCTCCCCCCCCTTATAACCAATACGGAATTTCTGAACCATTATTTTATTTTTCCTGATGCTTTCATTTTTTTAATAATGTAAATATAGGTCTCACCTAAAAGAAGGTGAATGAAGGTATCAAAACTACACTAAGACTAAAAAGTGAGACTGAGATAAGAACTCAGATTTTTTTACTCAGATTTTTTTACTTCAGATTTTTTAATTCCTTAGTCTGTTTTGTTTGCTTCTGTTATAGCTTATTGACACAGATTTCTCTTTAATCACAGCTCTTCAGACAGCATCCTGTTCCTAAAATTTATTTCAACCATTCACCCTGGACAACAGCTGAGCTGCAACACCTTTATAGAGCATATCTTTTGAATCTCCTCATTCAACTTATTTCTGAATTATTACCTTTTTCCTCTCTGGGAAGATATGGTGGTCTGCAGAGAAAGCAGGGTTCCATGGCATAAAAGGAGTTGTCTTCTTTGTAGTTCTGCTATTTGTATAGTACAGTATGTGCCTGTATTCAGGGTTCATTGCTCTTTCCTGATATTTCCATACCATGACAGTAAAAATTAATGTTTCCTCTCTCATTTTTTCTCTCTTTCATTTCATTCCTTCCTTCCTCCCTCCCTCCTTCTAATTTGATTTTTTTTTTAATATACTTTTTATTTTATCTTCAGGGTTTTTTTGTTTCCTTTTATTTTCCTTTTTGGTTTTTTTCCCTCTCACTATTTCACAAATTAATCCCCACCCCAACCAGTCACTGTTTCTATGAGTGTAGCGAGATGATGGCAGCTGCGAACCCCTCAAAGACCATAAAAATAAGATGATATTGGAAAAAGCAAAGTTTGCCTGATTTCCAGTGTATGATGAGGATGGTATTTTATTTTATTTACTCAGTTTAGCTCCTTCTAAGAGTTTCTTCACTATAAGATGATCAACATGTCTTTCCTTAATCACTCTAGTAATTTTTGATCCAATCCTGCAAAGTGTCAGCCAACATCCAAGGATTCCCAGAAGTCCTCCATGAATGGGACAGAGTCCTGCATGGAGTTCAGTCTGTCCATTCTAGCCTGTGCTGATTTAGCAAGGTAAGCCTGTGCTGGAGGCAACTTAAAAGCTTTTTAATCTTACAATCCTTGATTACTTAGACACAGGAAAAACTGTTGTTTGAAGCTGATCCAAGTAGGGGGAGGAGGATAGATCTGGCAGATGTCAATTTGAGCCCTAGGAATAACAGTCTCCCCCAAGCAATCTAACTCATCAAGCTAGTAGTTACTTAGTCTGATCCTGCAGTGCCTTGTGTTTTATTTCTGTTTGGGTCTTCCTGAGAAAAGACTCTAAAAAGGAAAAAGAAAAAAAAACAACAGTGGAAAGCAAAACATACATAGTCAACTATCTGCAAATTTCTGGCACAGTCAAGCCTGTAGTGAAAAGTCAGCAATGCAAATGATTCACTGATTGTGAGAATATTTTGTGTGACACAAGCACTGTGATCTGTGTCTGATACTAAATTGATGGACAAGATTCCACTTATCTCAGAAAGTCCAGGTTTGAACGGTAGCTCAGTGGTTGCAATTGGAGCGGCAACTTGTGGGCCACTGACCAACAGTCATACAATGACACGTCAATAAAATAAATCAGTCAAAAGAAATAGAACAAACAAATTCAGCATGATTGTAATCTGTGCTGATGGTTCCCTCAGGTGATCCCACCACCATATCTGATTTTTGTTCCATTAGGTGGGAAAGAGTCTTTTAATGTTTTGTGCCATCAGATACTCTGGTCTTGTAGTGTACTGGGAAGGAAAAAAAAAAAAAAGAAAAGAGGAATGGTGCCAGGAACATCCAGAAGTGAAATCTTAACTCCAGTAAACTATATGGGAGTTTTACCTGATAGCACTGTGTCCAGAAATTTGGTGTGGCCTAGAACACAGGGTGTTATCAGGTCCTCATACAGGGAGGGAACAAAGATTTACACTAATAAAACCCCCCAACACTAAAATACTGCCTTTTTCTTCCAGACACAAGATGGGCAAGTTCATATTTTTACTTCCGATGGTAAAAGAGCTGTGGTTCTTTTGACCACATCAAGCACAGGGCCTCTGGGAATTTTTTCTTGGTGATGGCATAACCCAACCACATTTAACTCTTTATGGAAGACATGCCCTGAAGAATTTGCAGGCAGTTTTTATACTTCTAAGGATGAGAACTAAGAGTGACATGTGGGTCTGTGGGTATGAAATAACATTTAAATACTTGTTATAGATATTTAATGTAAGTACTTCCACTGGCTCTTTGATGATACCTACGAAGCATGAGATGAAAATCTGTAACTTAACTTGGCACAGGTAACTCAGATTCATGGTGAAATCAGATACTGCATATGTTTGCAGCTTCACACAAGGTTTTCCATTCCCAGATTTGACACATTCTGGAGAGAAGAGACATTTGGAGTCTTTCAGATGCTCATTTTTTTAACTATGAATTTTGTCTCATTACTGAGAAATTGAACTTATGGCTACTGAACTATGGAGTTCTCTCTGATCTAGGTCAAAATTGACATCTGTGTGATTGTGTCAAACTAGTCCTTAGAAGCTACAGCAAAATCTGTGAAAATCATCAGGCCTTGAAAAAGGGCTAGAAGTGCAAAGGCTGACTCGGTGGCAGGGACAAGGAGGGGGGAACACAGTGAGCTAATTCACAGTGCTGATGTGCATGGTTACAAATTTTCACCAGAAACATTTATTTGCAGATTTTGAAAGAAAGTATTCTCTTTTTTTTTTTTTTTTTTTTTTTTTTTTTTTTTTTTTTTTTTTTTTTTTTTTTTTTTTTTTTTGGTAGCAAAATAAATTAGGTGGCACAGAAAGAAACACTTGACAAAGTTGACAGGACAGTTATTGCTCCTTTACAGCAACATCCATCTCAAGCATGATCTGAATTCTGGACAAAGAAAGTACCACTGAAAGAGAAAGAAAAATCTTGCTTTTAAGGTTGGACACCCCTCAGCCAAGCCATTCACTGTCCTTTTTGGGGGTAAGGGGATGGAGGAGGGAAGGCAAATGCTGTGCTAAAAGCATTTTATGAAGTGTGTTTTTCTCATGTCTTCTGCATAAAGGCAGCACCATTTATAACCCAAAGTCTTTGTTTTGGTTTTGGCCCCAAGTATTCACTGGCAAAGTTCTGAAAAACAACAGTGGAACTAACAAGACCAAAAAAAAAAACACGTAGGAAAAACAAGGAAATAAAACCAGACCATAGTACTGCAGATGTATAGATAAAAGACCCACCACAGCATCCGAATTTTAACTCACCAAAACCAGAAATGTACAACAGTGCAGCAATTCTTTTGCACAGAGAGCAAAGCTGCTTGAGATATTACTTTCACCCACTGACAGGGAATACAATTTATTTGTGGTTTTTGATCTTATACATTAAAACAAAACAAAACAAAACTCTCCTGGACAAGCAGAATTGGTGCTAATGTTAAGGTAATGCTGTAGCTCTTCAGTCCAGGAACACATTTCTTATTTGTACTCAAGCCAAGTTCGTTCACTTATATTTTCACTAAAGCCACAGCCTTTTGAAGATGTTGCACTTGGACTTCCTTCCTGCCAAGTTTCTAAATTACGATGTGCTGCGTCCATGAGAAACTGAATGAGTTTTATTAGAACAAGGTGCCAGAATGTTTCACCCTCCACCACATCAGGTCCAGGGCAGAAGTAGTGCATGAAAAGACACTGTCAATACATTCTGTCCCTCAAATGTATAAAGATTTTCTTTTCCCTCTCCCAACACTGATTGTAAAAACATTGAAAATATCTTGAAAGAAAATGTTTATTGATCTCTCAAATCTCCTGGTGCACTTTCACTCAAAAAGAACATCTGTCTACGTCTCCTGCCACTCTTTTGTTTTCAAGGTAGGCTACACACTGCAGAAAGCTCTACCAGTGAAATATAAACTATCATTTGTAGCTTTATTGATGAAGGGTTTATTGATTGGGGATTGACTAGACAGGTTAAACAGAAAATCAAACACAAGGTTTTTTTCCACTGGATTGAAGAAGAAAGCCTATCAAAGAAGTCCACTGTATTCCTGTTTTGGAGTTATCTGAGGGAGAACATGCCCATTTAGCTGCTTTCTTGTTGGCATTGCTGTCCTGAATCTCCCTGCCTTTAGACACAAGCCCAGCTCTCTTACTATGTTGTTGATTTTGATCCCTTGGACGAAAGGCCACCTGGGTGGTAGTTCTGCAATTCAAATCGTCACGGTGTTGTATGATGTAACATTTCTTCAGAGCTGGGGGGAAGCCAGTTTTTTCATTCTACCCTTTTGGTTCTTTTTTGTTGATAATTAAGCTTTCACAAAGTTTGTAAAATATTCCATAAAATACTGAGATGGCATTATTATTAGATAAATATCATTACTTATATTAAAATATTATTAATAATTGGCAGTAATTTCCATTTCATATCATGCCTTGAGACAGCACATTTTCCCTCATATGTGATGTAGGAAATAACCTTTGTACAGTCAGTATTACTGTGTAGTAATGTTGGCTTTATTATGGAGACCACAGTTCATTAGGGAGCCTGATCACTTCTTTAACAGAACACTTTGCCTCTATTCTGAGATGATTTAAACCTACAAAAGTGAGAAGCTCCACATGGAAAGCAGGAAGTTTGAGTGCAGAGCACCAAGTAGGAGAAAGCACTTGCATTTTTGAATGGGACACAGGTCAGGAATAGTATTGCATACACTCAGCTTTTCCTTAGGGCACAGTAGGACCACAAACTGAAACCCTCCTAGAGAGAATACAGAAGGGTCTTTGAAAAGCTCGATTCGTTAAACATTTGTTCCTAATCACCCAAACGACTTTAACCATTTTCACAAATGCAAATTGCCATTATCCTCTGCTAGCCAGAATAGGACTTCATGATTTAATGCAAATTGGTCATGTCCCACAGGCACAGTTGGATTTTTAAAGTATGAGGATTGAGTTGCTTCTCAAAATGTCAGCAGGTAAAATGAATTTGCCCAGGAAATTTATTAACAATTGACACTTTCTCCCTCCTGTTCATCATGAAAGGCAGTTCTGACACTGAAAAGAGTGAACACGGTGTATGTATGGTGGATGTGAATAGTTCCTTATTACCCTATCAGCATCATGTCAACAGAGAAGCTAGGAAAATCAATTTTCCTTTTAAATACTAGAACACTAGTGAGGGCAGTGCAGCAGAATGAGATTTGTCACCAATTTCAGAGATGCCAGTATTTCAACCAGTTTGTAATGGGTTTTTCTCAAAGATTGAATTCTGTTCTCAGACTCTGAAATAGATTCCTCTTCTTTTCAATATTTTATTTTGCTACATTTTTATGTTCTGCTTTGATTGTTTAGACAATTCCTCAAGGTGATATCTAAACCAGCTTGAAAGTATCCACCAGAGTCTCCCCTCTAGGGTGAATTTATCTCAAACACATCAAACATGGCAGATGATAAAATTTCTGTTTGCTGAAGTGCAAATTGTTGAGAAGATCCAGTTTCAGAATGTGGTTATTACAGCCCCTAAAGGATGCAAAGTATCAGCCAACACTTAGGTGGTGTTTAATAGTCCATGAAATAATCTCAAAGATTATCTCAAAAAGCTCCTCTAGGTAATTCCTTCTAGCTAAACTTGACCAGATTTCCTAGATTTACCAGAGCACTGGAAGAGCAGAGGACTCTGAAGAAGTGGAGGAACCCATCAATAGGGTACCATCAGCCTCCTGGTGCTTTGTGCCTCATCCCACCTTCTTGTTCTACCTGGGAGCTGCCTCTTGCTCCTTCTGAACGGGTTTTTGGAGTGCTTGTCCTGATGCCCACACCACCCTGACTGTGCTGTTCCATTCAAGCCATGGGATGCAAAAGATTAAAGCTAATTTAAGGTACAGCCATGCATTTCCACTTTTTTCTTGGTCATCAAATGTTAGTTCATTTCTTGCTTGCCCCTGCAACATAACATGACTAGAACACCAATCCTGTATTCATGATAAATATACATTATTATATGTTCATCCAAATATAATGAATATATGTTGCAATATATAATAGATATATTCATGTACCTGCAAATCTCAATACAGAGCATTGGAGAGAAGCCTGAATAAGTTCTTCAAACTGGAAAGGAGATATCCATGTAAATGTGAAGAAAATATTCATGTAAATACATGGATTCATGTAAATCCATATATCCAGAAATATCTCCCTCATCTTGAAATACAGGTAGAACAATGCACAGGCCTGAAAGGTGAATGGGAACATCTGGTTTTGATGGGTTAAAATGTTTTCTGTATATTTCCCTCGTTGTTTTGGCAGATGGGAGCTCTCAAGCACAGCCTGTAATCCCAGTTCTGCTGCAGGCTTCTTGAGGATGATGCAACACTGTGAGAGACCTGAAAACCGGCCAGTTCCAGGCTCCCAGCCTTTGTCTGTTTCTTGGAAGCACAGATCACTCATTAAGCATCCCTGGATTTTGCAGGCAACCATGCCTGTCTGGAACATGTCTAAGACAAGAAGATTCACCTTCCAGTGGAACTGGACTCTGGAGAGAGAGAACAGAAAAATCTCTGGCAGATTGCCCTGTGTGGTTGTAAATGAATGTACTATTTCGTTTTCATATTACAGTACCAGGAGCTGAAACAGAGAAAAAAAAAGAAAAAGAAATTGCTCTTTTGCCATGGAGAGCACATTTGAGCAAGGCAACCCAATGAAACACTGGCCCAAACCCATATTTTTTTAAATTATAAAACCATGGTTAAGGTTTTAATGCAGTATAACTCCAGCAGCTATACAGATGTTATCATACCCACCTAGTTTATTACATGAAAACTGTAGTAAACCTGTCATGATTGCAGGAACACTAGACTCAAATACGAGGTCCTGTAGTAATAATATGGTAAAACATGCCAAAGCGTAGTTTTAATCTGTCATCAACCAAATTTATTGGACAGAATGTGGCTTGAGAGCACTGAAACCCCTAGAACAGTGTTTTGATGATTGGGCACAATTTTTAATGAGTTATTCTAATTTTCAGAAAGTGTTTCAGTAGCACTAGAGATGATGCTTAATGAGCTAAAGGCGTGAAAGATCTGGAGGCTGAATTTGCTGTGACATGTCATGATGTACACATAAATTTTATGTCTGTTGTGTTTGCAGATTGACAGTGCTTTGTAGTCTACAAAAAGTAAAGCAGTAATGAGGAATTAGGAAGGAATTATTTTTCACACCTACCAGCAGCTGTGAATCCTTCCTCTTGTGTAACCAGGACGTGCTACAATACCAAATTATAAAAAAAGCTTCAAGTGGAAAACAAATGACAAGTGATATATAGACATAGACAAATAACTGATGTTTGTTTTCATCATTACTGCTTTAATACTTTAGGCTCATCTGAGTTTTGCCCCTTATTGTCTGTTATACAGGGAAGTAATCCCAAAAGTCTTGTACTTAAAACCTTGGCTATGACCCACTTTCTCCTGTAGGCCAGATGACACAGCACCTGTAAAAAGTCCAAGGTATTAGCTAAGAACTCACTGTGCTGGAGGAAATTACAAAAGGTTGGTGATAACTAAGATGAAATGGTGTGTCAGCCTACAGACAATACTATGTCTTCCTCTTTTCACCTCTTCTTTATGGGTTACTGGCAATATTAACTGAAGCAAGATAAGTGTCTAAAACTGGATGTGAATATATGCATTTAAACTAACATGAATGATAATATGTACTTAAGCACTCACAGTCATCATGTGGTGCCCTCTCCAAGGTCTGTGAGCACATCTGCAGGTGCTGCTGAAGTGCTTGTGTTTGAAATTGGCAGTAAAGTCAAATAAATGTGTGTCTGCAAAGAGACTAAATAAAATAACTGCAAACATTTTAAGCTAAACCTTTAGAATATGGTGGTAAACAGCCTGCAGTCATGGGGCAGTGACTGAAATAAGGAGCGGGTTTCTTATTGAACTCGGTGTCATTATATTCACTTTATACCCTGCAGTTATCCTTTGGAGATTACAAAGGCAGAAAGAGTCTGTGGAGATTATCTGCTGAGGTTCTCTGAGGCTGTGAGAAAGTCAGCTTGTTGGGAATATCGTGTGTCTGTTTGGAAGGGTTCTGGCAATGAGCTAGTGAAGGAAAGTGGGAGAGAGCCTGGCTTTGTGCAGCTCACCTCTTCCCTACTCACTTCTCCTTTCCTCCATGGACCCTGGAGCCCAGGTAGGGTCCTCATCCCTTGGACGCACATATTTTGATGGTTCTATCAGTAATATGTCATAGCAAACTCTTTTTGCCTGCTGAATTAAGATTGGAATGGAAGGCTGAGGGGTTGGCTGTAGATGTTTTGATGTCAGCCTGTAAAAACAAAGCTGTTGTCTGCAAAGAATAAACTGTATTCCTTCAAATCTGTATCTTAGTGTTAAACCTGTGTTTTCTTTTCCTCTAATGGAGTTCGAGGTCAGCAGAAGTAAAAGTCTACTTTCAGAAAGTGGAATTAGCAGCAACTTGAGTGAGGGAAAACGATTTTTTGAATGCTCAGGTCAGCGATTCAAGGATATCAGCATGTATTTAATTAAAGTCCTTGGGACTGTCTGTTTGTTTGGTCCAAGGTTATGCTCATCTCTGGTTATGCTCCTCTCTGATAGAAACTAAGGTTTATTCTACTCTCCTGTGAAATGTATGCACATAGAAAAATGTAGGTGGTCTCTCATGCAAACAGTAGTAAATTTAGAGCTCGACATATTCTTTTTTAAGGAATCATCATGGATCACCTGCATCTGCATTTCTGCATTTCTGTGCCTTTTAAGAGACTTGTGTAAACTCACACCGATTTAAAAAAACTCTAGATTCCTTTGTCAGTTTAACCTTCCAGAAAAGGACAGATTTAGGCACAGGTCTGGGCAAGGGAATTTGGGGAACATAACTGTCAAGGAGCAGTGGTGCAGCTGAACATCACCAAGAGTCTCTGAACAACTTTAAATAAACAGGACATCTAAGAAAGATTCCTTCTTTGAATACACCAGGGTCAGTATGTCCAAGTCTTCTAAGGAGTTTTTAGGATCAACATTTTATAGAACTGATAGAAGCTCAAGAGGTGTGCTCAGACGCAAAAGAGAGGGGATTTCGATACCAAAACCCTTTTTATAGAGGATTAATTAAAAGACTTTCTCAAATATGAAGTGCTGATAGAACTGGTGTAGTATGAAGAGGTAAAATGGTGTTCACATGTTCTAATGAAGCTTGAGGATTGCATTTTTTAGCTGATACAGCCAGAGTAACTGAAAACTGGCTAATTTAACCCTAGTTCTTAAAAGGATTTCAGGGGATATCCAAAAGAGGAAACCTGACGACTTTATTTGCTCAGTGAAGAACAGAATAATGTGCATTAGATAAATCTGGCATTGAGGAAGTTTTTCATGTTTTTTTCATAATAGGGAAGAACGGAGCACAAATCCACTGTAGTTAACTAACACTTCACCAAAAGTGATCAGGTCTACTTGGATTAGTACTCGGCATGGGCCAGTGACATTTGGTAATGTCACATCACTTTTAAAGAAAGAACAGTGAAAAATGGATGGTCACCTGCTCCAGAATGTTCTTCCAGCCACCTGTGCTTCAGACACTTCCTAAAGCAAGTGTAGTGCCAGTTTTCTATGTATTGGTTTGGTTTTTTTCTTTTAATTCCAGGAATATATTGCTTTCTTGTGTCCATGTAAACCTTCAGCCCATGCTGTATCTTGTGGCGAGGGGTTGCACAGTTTGTTTGCATATTTTGTAAGCATTCATCTCTTTTTGATTTGTTGAACCTGAGAGTCAATTAGGTTCATTTCATGCTGTTCTCAAAAACATGATTTTTCAACATCAGGCACAATAAAATGGATGCCAGTCACCTTCCTGTTGCCTTATGTTGCTTTCTTCCAGTTTCAAGAATTGTAATGTTTAGTTATTTGTCATGCCAACATTTAATTGGCCTTGTTGCTGTTCCTTGTAATTCTTCCTATTTTGCTGCTATTGAGGACAGAGAACTAAAAGTACTTAGAGTTTTAAACTTGAAATTACAATAGATTTATACATGGAATGAGGGGTGGAGGGGCGTTTCTTGTCCAACATTCCTTCCCTCTAATTTGTACATTGTAAAAAAACGTGCATGTAACGTGGCGGGTACTTTACATGGTAAAGAATCAGTACGCTCCTCGTGAGGTGGTGAGACAAAGAGACTTTATTTTAAAATCGGCGCTGTTTTATCCTTTAACACCATGTGACTACTTGACCAATGAGGTTACCTATGTCGGCGCATGCTCCCCTGGGCTTCTCTGCCCCGGCACGTCCCCTGTGCCTTTGACACACCTCCCACACATGCAGGTACACGTTTTTTGCTCTGTTACAGCATTTCTTCTACGGACTGGGTATGGTTAGTTTAAAATTTGCTTTTCAAAAGGTTACATCTTGCCCAGTCATGGAAGACATATCTCTGAATGATGATATAAATTTAAAAGTAAATTTCCTATAGTTACAGCTAATAAAGAATGCAGGTAATGGTCAGTGCAAAGACCTAATAGACCTCATTCCAATTTCTTTCTCTAGTGCCTCTGACACTGAAGCACTGCAGTAAGTTATGTAGATTAAAATAAGTTTCATAGAGGCAAACCCTGAGTGTAATGTGGCATATCTAATTCAGTTTTTCTAGAGAAAAACCTTCTATTTGTCTAGAGAAAAACCTTCAAAGCCAACCATACCATGTGGTTATCACTGGCTGTGTTCATGATGCTATGATTAAGGCAGCAGCAATGTTTTCATAGTTTTAAAGCTAAGATGAAAAGTAGCATCTGGGATCTTCATATAGTAAAAGAGATTAATTTTACTTTTTAACTAGTTAAATGGAAATTAAACAGATCATTTCTGAACTACTCTTTTTCCACATCCCTCCAGTTGAGATTAACTTTAATACTGTGGATTTCAGAGTAAATTTAAAAAAACCTGTGAATATTTAAATGTTCAATAAGTTTAAATAGAATAGAATAGAATGAATAATTAAATAGAATGTGCTTTTGGTTGTTCAGATAAAACCTGTATAACTTACTTTTTATTGTTACACAGTTTGTGTAAATGTTTATCAAAATGACACCCCTTGGTGGTCCCTGTCCAACTATGAGAAAGAAGAAATGCGAAATTACTTATCTGTTGGTCAAACTTTTTCCCCCAGAACTGATTGGAGATGGTGCTTGTGATGAGATGCCACACTGACAGTAGAATTAAGTTCAGTGTTGTGTCATTTACACTCCATCATATTCATATTTTAGAGGGAGGATCCTTCATTCTAGAGGGATAATTCCTTATTTTAGAGAGCTTTTAGCACTCGACTCTGTCAGTTTGCCATCACAAAGCATGCACAGAGGACAGCATTTGACACCAGACAGATAACACCTAGTCCTCCTGAATTCTCATTTCTTCATGGGACATTTGAAGCAGAAAAAAACTTAAGCAACTCTCCACAGTCTTTGAACATAGTCAAATTTTGCTTTAATCTCAACAAGAAGAAATGGCCTCAAACTGCACCAGGGTAGGTTTTGGTTGGAGTCAGGTTTGTAGGAGTCACGTTTTAGGAAGGATACTCTATGAGGCATCCTGGGAAATGAAGTCCCGAATGTACTCCACGTGTTGGCAGTGAGATATCCCTGGTGATTGGTCAAGGGAGTCACGTGTTGCTTTGAGGTGCATATAAAAGCTGTTGTCTCATTGAATAAATGAATTTTGTTGCCGAACCCCCAACCAGTCGGGTCCGTATGGGTTTATTTATTTATTACATTAATAAGCCATAGATATCAGGAAAAATTTCTTCCCCAAAATAGTGGTCAAGCATTGGAGCAGGCTGCCTGGGGCAGTGGTGGAGTCACCACTCCTGGAAGTGTTCAAAAAAGTGTGGATGTGGCACTTACTCAGCCAAAGTTTAGGCTTTGTGACCTTGGAGATCTTTTTCAACGTTAACTATTCTATGATACTGTGATAACAAGGTCCAACACTCCAAGATGTAACTGGTCTTCAACATACCAGCTAAAACTTCAAAATAAGTTTGGCTTGATTCTGGAACTGGTGTTTTATATGATTTCCTAACATTGTGGTTTTATTTTTCTCTAATGTCAGTACAACTTTTAATTTGAAGGGTTTAGTTTCTCATATTGTAACTGCTGCCTTCCACTCCCTTGTTGAAGGACACTCTGAGTGAGAACCACTGCTGCTCTTTCAGCAGTTCAAAAAAATAGTGTGAGGTAGTTTCAATGTTCAGCCTTAACTGAAAATTTTACCACTGAATTGTTTTAATATTGGCTTCCACTATGGTTTAAATTAAAATCAAACCACATTAAAGTATAAAATTTGTTCTTTGAAACTATATGGACACAGATTTTCTATCTCACCTCAGCATGAAACTGACATGAAGTATCTTTCAGCTATGCCTGATATACTCCCATTCAGTGAAAAATTCTAGTTCATAGGTAGGCTATTAGACCAAAAATCAGGTTAGTGTGACACTACCAGTAAATATAGAATTATTTTTCAAATTGATTCCCCTTTCTATAACTTCTGACATTTGGGTGGAAAAATTCTCAATTTTAGCACTGCAAATTTGTTAGCCAACAACATAAATATTATGAAAGAGAAAGAAGTGTGAATCTTTAGAACTTTTGTTGTAAACTTTGCAAAAGAAGGATTAACATTCGTTCATGACAGATATTTTAATTTTTTAATTTAATAATAAATAATTTTTTAAAAAAGCATTGATACTGATTCACCTTTGCTTGTTTCCATAATCTGTAGGTGGAATCTGACCTTTTTGGTATGGTAGGTCAATTTAATCACTGAGCCCAGCATATAATGGGTCATATTTTTGTCTCAGTTACACCCATGCAATGACAAGCACATGAGGTCAGTGGGATTTTAGGGGTGTAAGTGACAACTTGTTTTCACCCATTGTCACATTCTCTTAGGACAATACACAGAGGCACAAACTGGTGACATCCAGATGGAACACCAGGTAGCCAAAGAAATGCTTGATCCCATTAAAAACTACAGTGGTCTTTGTGTTCTTTACCATCTCAGGTAATTTGTTGAACTTTTGACAGGTGGCTTATTAAGAAATATTTCTGCTTCTGATGCATTTCCAAACTGGTTTTTACACATTCATAATTAGTGCCTTATTCTTCTGTGGTAGCTCCTTGGAGTTGTAGGTTGCAGATGGTTACTACAAAAACAATCAGGATATGAGCAATTAAACAGCTTCATCAGCTTCTGTGGCTCCTCATGTGTACACAGCAGAACTTACTTTTCTTTTAAGGTTCTAGTGTGATAGAGGCATCATTAGATGTATTTCTCTTAAGATGTGATTTATTTGGAAGTAAGCTTCATGAAGTAGA